CTATCCAGAATATATAAAGGAGTCTTGGAACTCAACAGTATAAAGGCAAACAAACCAATTAAATAATGGGAAAAGGACCTTGTTTTGGTTACCAAGTACCACTCTGACAAGAATATACCACAAATGGGATGGATTGAAAAAAACAGAAGTTTATTTTCTTAAACTTTGGAGGCTTTAAGTCCGAGTTCAAAGTGCCAGTCTGTAGGGGCTGGGTGAAAGCCCCTCAGCCTTAGGCTTCAGCTCTGCCTCCTGCTCCCAGACCCCTGAAGCTGGTGGCTTTTCTTCACTTAGCACTGGTTGCTGAGGCTGACAAGCTCAAGGTTGACAAGTAAAAAGGCATAGTCCCAATGTTACCAAACCACATGGCAGGGCATTAATTCAAGTCCTTCACAAGTCACAAGGTCGACAGAGCATGACAAGCTGCTGAACAACAACTCGGCTACATGCAGGGTTCAAGCGTGCCCTAAGCTAGAGACCATTTCCAAAGCTGTTTCTTATCTATGGGAAGCAGACCACATACCCAAAACAGCTACTCAGCTGCTCCAATAGATTCCACCATGGAGTTAATTACCAGTCGCATCATGGGGAATACTACATCCAGCTGCCCAGCCACTCTACCAGGCCCAGCCAAGTTGACACACAAACTTCACCACCGTAATCTTTTCTTCAAAGAAGATACAAAAATGACCAATAAAAATGTAAAAGATACACTTCTTCAAAGAAGATGTAAAAATGGCCAATAAAGATTTAAAAAGATGCTCAACATCATTAGTTATGATTTGCAAATCAAAACCACAATGTGATACTACTTTACACTGATTAGGGTGGATTTGATCTAAATAACAGAAAATAACAGGTATTGATGACATTTTGGAGAAGTTGGAACCCTCATCCATTGTGGGTAGAAATATAAAATGGTGCACTTTGGAAAACACTTTGGCAGTTCCTAAAAATGTTAAACTTGGAGTTGACATATGACCCAGCAATTACTCCCCTAGATACATACTCAAAACAGTTGCAAACAGGTTCACACAAAACCTTGTAAACAAATGTTCATAGCAACATTATTCATAGTTGAAAGGTGGAAACAACCCAAATGTCCATCAACTAATTAATGGAATGTAATTTGGCCATAAAAACGAATGAAATATTGGTACATGCTACAACAGGTATGAACCTTGAAAGTGCTACGCTAAGTGAAAGTAGTCTGACACATACTATATGATTTCCTTTATATGGAATATCCAGAATAGGCAAATTTGTAGAGACAAACAGGAGCTCTGGTGGTACAGTGATTAAGCACTTGGCTGTTAACTGGAAGGTCAGTGATTGAAACCCACTGGCTGAGAAAGATTTGTTAGTGTCCTTCCATAAAGATTTATGGCCTTGGAAACTTTATGGGGCAGTTTTTCTCTGTCATGTAGGGTTGCTATGAGTCTGATTTAACTCAGTGGCAGTGGATTTGGTTTTTCATAGGGACAAACAGTAGTGTTCTCTTAGGACTAAGGGCTGGAGAAGTTGAAGGGTATATTAGTCTAGGTTTGCTGGAGAAGCTATATATATAAAATGGGGGTGGGTTCGAAAAGGGAGAGAGAGGGAGAGAGAGAAAAGAAGGGAGGAAGAAGCTAGGCAAATAGACACATGAACTGGCAAATCTGAAATCTTGAAAACTTAGGAAAGAGTTGATGTAGTTTTAAGTCTGAAATCTATAGGACCCTCTTGCAAACTGGCTGACAACTGAGGCAGAATTTCTGTATTAGTCTTGAGACAGAGTTCTTCTTTAGGGAATCTCAGTTTTTGCTCTTAAGGCCTTCAACTGATCTAATCACCAGATGATTAACATTTGAAAATGTTAATCACATCTACAGTACACCTCCACATCACTATCTATCTACACTAGTGTTTATCCAAACAACTGGTCACCATACCCTAATCAAGTTTACCCATAAAATTTACCATCACAGCAGATGATAGCTAAAAAGTGCAGGATTTCCTTTTAGTATGATGAAAGTTTCCTAAAGTTGGTGGTGGTGATTTTGCACAACCCTGTGAATATACAAAAAACCATTGAATTTGTACATTTTAAATGAATGAATTATAAGGTATATGAATCATATTTTAATAAAGTGATTATAAACATGCACACAAAAAATGATGTTCACAGGGGCTTTATACATAATTACCTCCAGTTGGAACACCCAAGCCAAGGTCCATCAGTGGAAGAATGAATAACCAAATTTTGATATATTCCTTTTACATAATGTTATTCAGCAATAAGAAGAAATGAATTACTGATACTCATAATGAATGAGTCAGAAAAACCTGTTGAGCAAAAGAAGCCAGACATGAAATTATACATATTGTATGACTTTTTTCAGTTTAAGAACAGACAACTAATATATAGTGATCAAAATCAGAACTTTGTTTCTCTAGTGAGAGTCATGGTATTATTGACAAAGGGGGACAAAAAAGCTTCTTGAGGTTTTGAAAATGTTATGGTGAGGTGTGGAGCATATGAATATAAACATTTGTTACAACTCATCAAACTGGGTCCTTGTGTTTGGTTTTACAGTTTATGAAATAACACCTTTAAAAAATGTCCCTGGGCACTTGCATTACAGAAATTCTTTTTTTGAGCAGAAACATGCATGGCCTTAGGTCTGAGTGATAAAATAGAAATGGGATTGAACATTGTTTTAAAGGCTAGGAGCTTCAAAGAGCTGAAATTTTTTCATTGAAAAGATAACTGAAAAATTCTATTCATTACATTGATCTAGAAACAATCTGTATTGTATCTGTACCATGTATGGGTAATGGTATATAGTTTGAATTTATGCTATGTGTTTGGTACTTAATCTCAAATTAATAAAGGAACATCAAAAGTAGGTGAGAATCTAGTGTAAGCAAATGTTAAATAAACCTCTTCAAAATTTTTTAAGACTCCTTACAAAATTCTCACTGAAAGTGAATATATAAACCATCGTAGGAGAAAAAACTGTTTTGAGAAGGAGCGAAGTCAGTACACAAACAAGAGGATTATTACTCTAGGATTTGCAAATACCGTTATATTGGAGTAATTAGAGGTTTTTTTTTTTTTTAAGGCATAGAAAGCAAAGTGAAAGAGCACTGTAGAAATTTTAACAAATTACAGTAAGCATAATGTTGAGACACAAAGCAGTCATAGATGCAAAGTTACCTATAGTCAGTGACATTTCAGAATTACCCACATATGACATTGCTGCAGTCTATTAGATCAAATAGAAAATGGAGTACAATGGTTGTAGAGAAGGGAACAAATGTAAATTCAGTACTTTCTTAAAAATGTACAAAATAAGTCAGTATATTTTAATATCCTGGTCTTTAGTACCACTTTAGTACCATAATCTTGAGTTATTTCTGACTAGCATACCATCAAGTCAACTGTTGAAGGGCCTGGAAATCTGATAACTTTTTTTTTTTTTTTTAAATTTTATTACTATTTGTATGGGGTATGGATTGCTCTGAGTTGAAATCAGTAATGGATGTGGGTAGAATTCAGCAGGTGTTTTTTTCCCAAGTAGTCCCACTCTCTCTCTCTCTCCTCTCAACCAGGTATAGACTATACTGAGGCCTAAGTATTTTCCCTCCAAGCAATTTATCAATGGGGAATTATTGGTAGTAATGAGAATAGCATATTTTTATTGAGATATCCTTTGACTAAGATGATGGGTAACCTTGTGATACTTGTCTGTTCTTCAAACTTGGAATATTTGCAACTGTTGACTGTGTATCAATATGAATAAGACAGTGTTTTATTAGCTTAGTTGCTTTTAAAATTATTAGATATGAAAAGCATTTCAAGCCCATCTTTTTTTTTAAATCTCACCATTTCTATGTATAGTTCTATTTGATGTTAGAATATCATATGAGTGCATTTCCTTTGAAAATTAGATGCCTATTTGCTGGGTAATAAAAATTCAATTTAAGGAATTGTAGTTAAACTAGGGCAAGCTCTGTAACCCTTGAATTGTTCTGCTTCTGTTTAACTTTTAAATCTAATTCTGCTTTGAGAACTATACATAGTATGTTGCTTTGTATCTCATTCCTAATAATACAATAAATATAAACTAATGGAACTGCAGTTAATTGTTTATGTTTTATTTAATTTGCTTCTATTGTTAAATTATTCACTTCTGTTTTTCAAAGACAAGCCTACTTAAATTTGAGCTTTATGCCCTAACTGTAGATACAATCTTTAAGTAAATGATTCACAACTCTCCTAAAGCCTGGAAAACCTGTATTCTCTTTTATTGCTAATATTTATTTTATTGAAACTTTTTTCTTCTTTATTACTCAAGTTACTGTTTAAATAACACTAGTCTGGGGCTTTGGTCTTCACTTGAATGTGTCTTCCCTTTCCCACTGATTTCTGCCTCACGTTACTAAGAAATGATGGTGAGCTACACATTTTCCAGCTCTGTTTTTGGATTTATAAATAAGAATTACTGCTGAGTTTTTCTGCTCTCTGGTGCTGTTTTCATGCTCTTTGGCACACTTGTTGGAATTCCTTACAAGTGTGGTTAATTGCAGGATTTGTGAAAATTGCTTAACTTTTGGTAAATTGTCTGGGGTATATTTCTCTGAGGTTCTGTCAGTGTTCCTTACAGTGTTGCCAACTATATGCTTATTTCATTTCTGACCCAATAATACTGAATCCATTTTTGAAAAATAAACTAAATCATACAAGTTGTTTTGAAGTTTTCTCATTTTAATTTAGGGAGTTTTAGTGTGATGTTAACTCACAGACGTTTTAGTACTAAAGAGGAGACTTTGAATGCTTGATAAGGACCTTTATTTTTTTCTTATTAGTTGGAAAAATAATTCATGTTTAATCCTTACTTGATACATTTTTGTGTACTTTTAAGATAGTTGGCATCATTGTCCTTGATTCTCTATTGGTTTGGGCTTATATAATGTCTTTTTCTTCTCTCCATTTTTTTGTTTTTCTTTTGCTTTCTAAGGACATGATGATACAGCGCCATGTGCAATTTTGAAAAGTATGGATAGTTTTAGCTTTCTACAACACCCAGTCCACCAGAGGAGCTTAGAGATTCTGCAGAGGTGCAAGGAAGAGAAGTACAGTAAGGCTGCAAACTGTGATAAACTCTGTGTCATCACACATCCATTTGGAAATGGAAACCAGGGCACTCTACACCAGGGTTGGGACATAGATTGTGTAGGCAACCTGACTTCCATGATCCTTATGACCGGTCTCAGGCTATTTCCACTGAGACTTCTTTCTATTAAAAATGCTCATATACCTCTTCTTTTTACTTGGATGACTGTTCTATTTGCCTATGATCCTTGACTTACTAATTATACTTGGTTACAGTCTCTGAATTGGTTCCTTTTTTTTTCTTCCAGGTTAGAGTGCTGGGTGAAAAGAAATAATACTTTTCATTTGGCTGATATTTTTAAAATATTATTTAGGTCTAATTGAAGTAAAATAAACTACATGTAGAGTGTACAGTTTGATAAGTTTTAGCATATATGTATACCCATGAAACCATCACCATTATCAAGATAATGAACATGTTCAGCATTCTCAAAGTTTCCTCATACCCTTTTCTAAGTCCAACTTGCATTTCAACATCAGCAGGGCTGTTTTTGTGTATCATTGGTAAATCCACTTGATTGCGGTTCTCTCATTAAAGTTTTCTTTGTCTGGTTTGGAGTCAAGTCATCTCAAGAAAGCTTAAGACAGAATGGCAGAGTCGTAGTGGATGTTTTTTCTTTTTTATAAAATTGGTGTAAAAAGATGCTCCTGGTCTCCATTTCCCCCTCCTTATATATTACACTCATTTTGCATGAAAATTGGATCTTCTACTTATGTGAGATTACAGTTGTTGGTTTGCTGCTACGGTGAGAATAAAGAGGTCCTTCAGAATACTGCAGGATCAATATGAGTCAGAACTGAATTGATTTGACAGCAGTGGATTTGGATACTTTTGGTTTTCAGAATACTCAAAGCCTAACTAAGCAATTTACATAGAATAGACCTAAATTATTTCCAAAATCTCTTCTGAGTTTTGTAAATTGCCCCAAATTTAGTTTGTTAATTTCACAGTTCTCTGGTTGAAATTCTTTGAGATTGTAATACCCAATTGTCAGTGAAAGGAGACTATAAATTGAATTCTTAAAAACAAATATTGTGGTTTCTTTCTTATTGTCCTGTTGCTTTTTACACTTGGTATAAAAAATGTTTAATGTATTTTGAAAAGTATTATTGAAAATACTATTTTCTTATTTTAGAAAGAACAAAGGTAAGTATTACATTAAAAAATAAATCCTACAAAGTTTATTCTTAATTATTTCTTTTGTTTTTAAAAGGTATATAAGTCTTTATTCTGATTATCCATTTTACTTTTTAAATCTTTTATTCATGGGACATTATTTAAAACAATCTAAAATATTTTTCTGAGCTTAAATTAATTTTTTTCCTCAATTTATTTATTTATTTTAATTGTGTTTTAGGTACAAGTTTACAGAGCAGAGTTTGTTTTACATTCAACATTTCATGTACATTTAGTTTCACTCCCCATTTACTATCCCCAACTCTATCCCAGTCTCCTCCCCTCGCTGCCCAGTAACCCTGTTCCCCATGCTCCTCATAGTTGTGCACTCCTGTGTGTCCTGCATTTCCTCCATGCAAATGTTGCCCCTCTGGAGCCCCATAGTCGATTGCTCCAAGGGATGCATTTCCATAGAGTATGTAGGTGCGTCACCCTGGGTTGAGTAGTCTGCACAATACATCTTGTTTACTATTGGGCTAAGAGATAGCAGCTGGGAGTGAGTTTTATTCCCACTTCCCCTGGGAGTGAGGCCTAAGATGTATCTCAGGGCCACAGTAATGGGGGTCCCACCAGACTCCATCTGACCGGTAATTCTGGGCATTATTGTGTTTTTGGATTTTGTTCTATGCTTTTCCTTCCACTCTATCCAGGATCTCCAGTTTTGATCCTTTCCTGAGTGGTTGGCATTAGTAGTTGGGCACCATCTAGTTCTTCTGGTCTCGAGGTCCATCATGTCTTAGAGCTGATTGCTTCCAAGTACCCTTGATTTTTTGCATTCTTCGCTCTGACAATAGGAGACCATTAGCTGCATCTTAGACAGCCCCTGGAAAACTTTTAAGACCCCAGTCACTACTCACCAGTGTAGGATGAGAAACAAGATTTTTACGTATTTTGTTGTGCCAATTGAGTCTGGTGTCCCCCAGTACTATGGTCCTGAGTCGATAAATCTGTTGGCTCACTCTCCCATAGTGTCTGGCCGTTGCTGAGGGATTACTCTATGTCTATCTTCTTTTGTTTCTTTAAGGATTGCAGATATTTTATATCACTGGTATCTGTGCAAGATTAGCCTCAGCTGAATTTATCCTTGGTCTAGAGTATTATCCTGTTCATTGACCCCCATCTGATCTTCTCAGATGTTTATATGTTTTATCTGTAGCCTGGTGTCTGGTGTTAATGGTAATGCAGTATTTTGGATATACTTGATGGTATTGGCGTCTGTCGTCTATATCTTATGCGCACAATTTGGTGTCCTCCCTTTTCCTAATACTATCATGGTGGTCACAGGCTCTTTCCATACCATCTCTCCCTTTACCCATGTCAGTGTGTGGCCCCCAACTAGCCTGAAATTAATCCCTCTCCTTCCTTTCCTACCCGGGTAACATACAAAGTGAGTTACCTTTCTTAAGCAAACCCTTCTTTCTCTTTTTACAGTAATGAGTTCATACAGTAGTTGTCCTTCTGCAATTAACTTATTTCACTCAGCATAATGTCCTTCAAAGGAGCTCTGGTGGTGTAGTGCCTCAGGCATTTGACTACTAACCAGAAGGCTGGCGGTTCAAACCCATCAGCCACTCCTCGGAAGGAAGGTTGGGCAATCTACTTCCGTAGTGATGTTGTTGTTATGTGCCGTGGAGTTGGACCCGACTCATAGTGACCCCTCCTTGGGTTTCCGAGGCAGTATCACTATGGAAGTAGATTGCCCCATCTTCCTGCCTCGGAAACCCAAGGAGGGGTCGCTATGAGTTGGATCCAACTCAGTGGCAGTGAGTTTGGTTTGGTTTGGAATGTCCTTCAGGCTCATGCATGTTGTGAGATGATTCACATATCCTTCATTGTTCCTTTTTAATGTAGCATAGTGTTCCATTGTGTGAATGTAACATAATTTAGTTATCCATTCATCCGTTGGTGGAAATTTAGGTTGTTTCCATCTCCTTGCTATAGTGAATTGTGCTGCGATGAACATAGGTGTGTATGTCTCTGTTCGTGCTCTGCCTCTCACCTCTTTAGGTTATATTCCTAATAGTGGAATTGCTGGATTAAATGGTATTTCTATTTCCAGTTTTTTAAGGAAATGCCATACCGTTTGCCACAACGGTTGTGCCATTTTCCAATTCCACCAGCAGTACACAAGAGTTCTAATCTCTCTGCAACCTCGCCAGCATTTGTTATTTTCTGTCCTGTTGAACTTTGCTATTATTGCTGGGGGGTGAGATGATATCTCATTGTTGTTTTGATTTGTATCTCTCTAATGACTGAAGATTGCAAGCAATTCCTCGTGTGTTTGTTGGCCACCAGCATATCATCTTTAGTGAAGTGTCTGTATAAGTTTTTTGCCCTTTTTGTTGTTTGTCTTTTTGGTGTTGAGGTGTTGAAGTTTTCTATAGATTTTAGAGATAAGTCCTTTGTCAGGTATGTCATAGGCAAATATTTTCTCCCAATCTGTAGCTTCTCTTTTTACCTATTTGATGAAGTCTTTTGATGTGTATAAGAATTTAATTTTTAAAGGGTCCCAGTCATCTAGCTTTTCTTCTACCTCCTGAGCATTCTGATTTATGTTTGATAGTCTATTTATGCCATAAATTAGGGCTCCTAAATTTGCCTGTTTTATCTTTGATGAATTTTGTAGTTTTGAGTTTTACATTTAAGTCTTTGATCCAGTTTGAGTTTATTTTTGTGTATGGGGTGAGGTGTATGGGTTTTGTTCATTTCTTTGCAAGTGGATATCCAGATTAATTTAACACTTCAACAGTTACAAGTGGGTTATTTGCTTTGTTGTATTTCATGATGACTTTCAACCTGACAACCCAGTCTGATTGTATTCCATCTTGCTATATATAGATCTTAGAACTAGAAGGCACCTATTTCAGTATAGGCTACATGAGGAAATTGTGCATTTATGTGTGGTTTACATGTAAATTACTGCATTTGTGGAACTTGGAGCTTTTCCATTATTTTATGTAGTTTATTCTATTTTCAGTTTTAGTAATAGCAACAATTCCAATTTTATAATATTTAAAATTATAACTTGAAGTACAAGAGATTGTTTTTAAAACATCTGGGGGCTACTAGCCTCAGGGAATGATGAATTGAATTGGTGAGGCAAACAAACCCTTCCTTAGTTAACAATGATAAAACCTGAAAAAAACATGAATATTGCCAGTTATTTGCAAGCATTGATTTAAGACTAAAAGCAGGCAAAAACAAGAGGAGAGTTTATTCTTGAAAGTAAATAATTGTATGTTTGTGGCTTTGTGTGCTCCCCAGTTCCTATCACTTTAGAGACAGAAAGCCACAACTGTACTTGCTTGAAGTGTTGAAGGACAGACAAAGTCAAGGGCTGGTAGATCAGTTTTAAAATTTGTGAGGAAAATCCTGCAACTAAGAGCCACCAAGTGGCTCCAACCTGAAATCAGAATATATGTTCTGCCCACATTCCTTGTTGGTTTAAAAACTATGAACTTCTAAACTCTATGCAGGGGAGACCCCAGGGATTCTGCCAGAAAAGCAATGGAAACAAAATAGGAGATAACTCCTGAAAGATACAACTGCAACAGGTGACTTTGGCAAGTTAGCTGCTTTTTCGACTGAGAGCATTTTCTACTCTCTCCATGATGTTAAATTATGACGTTAAATGTTACTAGCTTAATTGGCATTCTTATGACGTTAAATGTTACTAGCTTAATTGGCATTCCAAAACAAGAGAGAGAAAAAGGGGCAGGAAAAAATATTTGAAGAAATATTGTGACTGAAAGTCACCCCAATTTGAATTAAAAACATTAGCTTACATA